TGTGAAAAAGCAGCACACAATTTAATACTCTAAATAGGAGAGGCACTTTCTTATGACTTTTTAATTACAAATTGTCCATCTAAAGTATGTAATTATTAATTCATATTATAAAACACTTTCTAAGTAAGTACAATAGAGATATTCTTAAAAATCTGGTATCGCTGTCAGGTCACTGTAGCAAAGAAAAAAGTTGCAACACATTTTAAGAGTTCATCTAAAATAATAGTGAAAACATTACAATGTTGTAGCACTTTGGGTTTCTATGAGGAACAGAGATTCTTCTTTACCAAGGGGTGTAAAAATTACAATACCATATTCTGAGAAGGAAAATTTCTACACAGACCTGAAGAAACTTGTTCTCGTAATAAAGATTAGGGTTTTAAGGATTTATCTGGGACTCTTGGACATCTGGCACTTTGAATATAAGATCATACAGTATAATTGAGGAATGTAGTACAATATTTTTTAAAAATCATTTTGCTATGAAATTAGTATGAAATCATGCGCGATACATGTCATAGTAATAAAAACTTGTGACAACAAACTGATTCTGCCAGATGTTGTAGCGTCTGAATGCAACAGGAAGCTCTAGTCAGATGATCTTTTCTGACAAGACAGTGCAAATCCTAGAAAGGAATATCACTCCGTCTTCTAAGAAAATAGGTTAGATATTTTTGATATTAGATAGGTTAGATATTTTTGAATCCCAACAAAAGTATTCAACAGAAACAAAACTGGATAGTGGATTAAATATATATATATTTACACATAAACATAAACATATAAATATATTAATTGGTATAAATGCACCTTTTGGTAAGGTGATTTGATGGAGATTGTATTAAAGTGTTAATCTCTGTAAAATCTTCTATCTACGTCTTTGTTTTGAAACTAGAAGCAGGGAAACATCCATCTTAGTGTAGGTCTACAGGCTCCATCTGATTACATTGAAAAGGGAATTTGTCACACCCACAAACTCGCTATGTAAATAGTTTTACATAACACACAACAGGCTAAATCCTATTCATTTGTAGTTATTAGTACTGCTCACACGAATCAAACGAGCGCGCTACAGCTAAACACCAAAATACCTGAATCCCAAACAGGGCTATGGTTTTGACATGCACTTTACTTTGTCTTTGTAGATAGCTTGACTCAAAAGCTACATGTAAAAATTTTAAGTTTGATTATAAGGAGAAAATTTTGATGGACGTATACACTGTGACACAAGCCTAAAACAAACCATAGGCAAGCTTTTGATTTTATGCATTTTAAAATGTTGATTAATTCTACATTTTCTCATGTTTTAAAGCCGTGTTATCTATGTAATTCTAAAGTATCTCAGTTGGAACAGTAAAAAATGCAAAATAATGAATAATTCATAGTGATTTCATTGATCAGTCCACTAAAACTGAAAATTTGTATTAAAACTTTTAAAATAGACTGAGTTTTACATAAATTATGCATACTCATATGAAATTAAGAACTTTGAGGCAGCTATTTACTTTTTTTTTTTTTTTTTTTTTTTAATGAAGCTGTCCTCCAGTATCTGCACTTTTTCCCACAGCCTGGAAAAGCAGGAAAAATTGCAAGGAGGAGATCCCTGCAAGTGAGATTAATTTCTTGCTGTTCTGGTCATTTTTGTTTTGGTTATAATAAGGTCAGTGTCTGAAACACGCTTCTCTCTTGCTTCCCTGTTTTAAAGGGAGAATTACTTAGACCATGTGGGAAGATTAATGAGGTAATGACAAAGGCTGTATCTGTTACTGTTACTGCTGAGATTATAAACCCCATGTTTTCCACTCTGCGTTTTTAACCTGCTTGTATGGAGACTATGAATGAGTCTTGCACAATAGATTCTTACCTATGATGCTGTTTCTGTGTAAACAGTATCGATTCAGTGGTAAGTGTGAAAACAGCCAAGGCACAGATGAAATCCTCTATTCCTAGCAGTGCTCTGGAAAAGAAAAATGAGACATTGCCGCTTTTTAATTCTTCTCGTTATTCCCTAGAAGGAAAGTTAAATTTGTGCTGCCTCTAGGCCAAGCACCATCCCATCTGAACAAAAGAACGGAACTATGATCACATCCATTTCATCTTGCTGCTACTCCTGCTTGCAGGCTCTCTGCAGATGCGTACGTCCCTGATATTGTATCTTCAGTGCTCATACGTCACAGTAAATGATTCATTAAAAATGCATAGACAGAGTGATCTTAGAAGAGGGAAAAAAAAGATCTGGAGTTTAAGGGAAAAGGAAAATAGAAATGAAAAGTCAAAAGGTAGAAATGGGAAACACCCCTGAAATTCACATGAGAAAGGCAAGCGAAAAGACATTTAAAAAGGAAGAGGAGATGGCAACTGTATTGACATTTAATATGTCTACTTGGGATAAAACTCATCCTTTTACTAGCAATAACAGCAAGAGCCTAGAGAAAGCACAAAGCCTTTAGAGCATTTTGCATCAAGTACCTCACAAAAATGGTAAGCAATTTCTTCTAAGGAGTGTACAATATTTGCACCAAACTACCTTGTTTATTTAAAATATATATAATTCAGTGGGAGCAAACACAGATACAGCTCTATCGATATTGTGCTTTTAACAACATAACTGAACCCATGGAAAGGTGTTGCATCCATGCAACAAAAATGGTTTTTATTGTTTGCATACCAAAAATGAGTATATTTTTGCCTCTCCTTACTTGTTCCTTTCCTTATACTGCAGCAGGTAGCTCTGCAAAGGATGCAAGGCCTACATGCAGCACCAGAAGAGCTGAGAACAGACACCTATAATAATGCTGATGCTCCTGGACTGGTATGAATGGGTTCCTTGATCCTACTCACCACCAGTCCTCCTAATCCATATACCACTTGGCATGGTCCCATCAGGCCTCAAAACTGGGGCAGAAAAGAAAGAAGCACACGCTTCATGGGCAATTCCTACAAACCTGATAAACCTGTGATTGCCAAGACCAACCGTACACGGAAGGTCACCACTTTTGTAGCATTTACTGGATGGCCAGAAGGCTTTGCTCTGCTGAACCGATCCTGCGAGCAAAATAACCACCCATGCTTACAAATAATAAGCTACTTGAGAAAGAGACACCTCCTTCCTTCCTATGACATTCATGCAAATGATGTTATACAGATGACACATTTAGGCTGTTTTGTATTAAATATAAACAGAAAAATACGAATATGGAACATAAATTGCATTCTGTCAGTTAAAAAAAAAAAAAGTGAACCTAATGCCTATAATGGAAAAAACTATGTACACACACACACACACACACACATACAATAGCAATATTTTTAGCTATAATTTCCTGCTCATGTGGCAACATGACGAGCATTCTGAAGAAGCTGAGCCAAGGGAAAATACAACCTGCAGAACAGGTCACGTTTAAATATTCTGCTATTGAAGAATATTAAAAACTACAGATTAAGTAGGAGTGTTGTAATACTTACATTAATTAATGCTTGTAAATCATTCCGAACTACCTGGATAAAAGATGGCATAAAAAGCGTTGCCACATGTCTTGATGCTTCTAGATGTGCACAGGCCCAATGCATCTTGTTTAACTTTTTGGATGTTTGAAAGCAAAAATGTCACTGGTGGATGAACTTTGTGTCGGTAGGTGTTTGAACACGGCAGAGAAACACCGAGGATGCCCAAATCCTGGTCAGGAACCCCAGCAGGTACCTCAATATGAACAGACCGAAGTATCTACATCTCTCCATCTCTGAATCCAGGTGCTAATGGTGGCTCACCAGGTCTAATTACCAAACACCTCTGCTGATCTGCGGATCAGCGTAGCTCACACAGCTCGGCGGTGCTGCTCAGCCTTGACTTGGTTGCAAATTCACGTATGTGAAAAACATGCCTTCCAATTTAGTACCACGTAGTATCACCAAAAACCTTAGGCCATGCTATCAGTCTGAAAAGGAAGGCATCTGAAGTGATTCGATACATGTCTAAGGTTAGTGAACAACGTACCAGCTTTCGGGGAGCTTGGTACTTCTTGCTTTGACCAGCACAGGTGTTTATGAGGCGCTTATGCTTTCCCATGTTGTTCAGCAGGTCTAAATGTAACATGTATTCCTTTTCACTCAGAAACAGGCAACATATTTTACGGTATCCATTTAAAAATTCGAGGAAAAAAGGTAGGGACTTTCACAGAACTGCTGTCCTTAGGGTTGATACTGAGAGTGTTTTAGCTGGAGCAGCACCAATATACACACATCTGCCCCCAAAGGTGAGAAAATTGGGGTTTATTCACTCTTCTTGTTCTCTCATCACACAATGATAGGAAACAGAAGTTACTGCGATGTGGGGGGAGGCCGAGCAAGCTGCCAGCAGCAGGAAGCAGCTAGTTCTGTGGGGAGAGCATCCCAAACACACAAATGCTGTGAGGTATGGTGTGTAGGTACACCTAACAAACAAATGCTGTGGGATATGGTGTGAAGGTACACCTAACACACAGGTGCTTTGGGATACGGTGTGTAGGTACACCTAACTGTGGGTTAGGTACAACTAAGTGCTGTGGGGCGTTGTGTGCTCACACCTCACACGAGCGCCATGAGGTGCAATGTGTGCTCACACCATGATTTTGTGAACATACAACGGCCGGGGCACAACCGCGCACAAGCAGCAGGTGCCTTCGGTGCCCTGCCCTCACACCTGGCGGCGGCAGCCCCGTGAGGCACCACAGCGCGCCCACCCCACGGCGAGCGCTGAGGGGCGCTGAGGGGGGCGGGCGGCGCCCCGCGGCCGCTCCCTGAGGCGGGGCGTGGCCGCGCGCAGGCGCGCAGGTAGGGGCGGGGCGAAGAGCAGGGGGAGGAGCGCGGTTGGGTGGGCGGGGTTGGGCGGGAGGGCTGTGCGCCCCGCGATTGGCCCGGAGAGCTGTCAATCCTCGGCGGCGCGCGCTGGGCCGGCCTCGCGCGAGGGGCCCGGCGCGGCGGGGGGCTGGGAGGGGAAGGGGGGGGGAGGAGGAGAGGGAACAAAAACAATCGGCCCCGCGCCGCCATCTTGGGCCGGCTCCGCACGCCGCGCGGTGAATGGGTCGCTATGAGAGAGCCACAGGGGAGCGGCGGCAGCAGCAGCAGCAGCGCTCCGAGGGCTGCCCCGAGCTGCCGCCCGCCCTCGGCAGGCTCTAGAGGCCGCCCGCAGGGAGCCCTCGGGCTCGGCCTTTTTTTCTCCTTCTCCTTTTCTCGCTCCTCAGCCCGCCCCGAGCCGCGCTGCTGGACCGGCAGAGTTGGGCTCCGCCGCGCCGCCACCGCCGCCGCCCGGGAGCTGAGGGGGACGCGGCCGGGAGCGGGCCGGGGCCGGGGCCAGGGCCAGGGCTAGGGCAGGGCCCAGGGGAGCCCTCCCCGCTGTTCCGCGCCTCCCCGCCGAGCTCTTTTTCCCCCTTTTTTTTAATAATTTTTTAATTTTTTTTTTAATTTTTAATTTTTTTCCTCACAAAATCCTGACCGGACACAGCCGCCGTTGTGGTAGGGCGAGGGGAGGAGGAGGAGGAGGAGGAGGAGGAGAGGCGGCCGTGAGGGGTCGGCGGGCGGCAGGGACAGGGGGACAGGGCACGGACAGACGGACAGAGGGGGCCAGGACAGCGGGACAGGGCTGCCCCAGCCCCCTGTGATCCCCCCTCAGCCCCTTCCCTCCCCCAGGAGCTTCCCCGGGACTCGCCGCCCTCCTCCCCGGCGGCCGGGCGCTGCCTGCTTTTTGCGGCGTGTTTTTAATTTAATTCTGTTTTTTTCTCCTTCTCCTCGTTTAAATACCAAATACAGACCCCCCCCCACTCCAGAGGGGGAGGAGGGGATGGAGGTGTCTTAGGAAAAAAAAAATCCCCAATTCCTCAGCCCGGGCTGAAGGCCGGCCCGGAGGGGGGGGGCGATGAGCTCGGGCTGAGCTGTGGGGAGCCGGTGTCAGGGCTGGTGCCAACCCCAGCCCTGCTGCTGCCCCTCAGCTGGTGCCAGCCCCAGCCCTGGTGCTGCTGCTCCTTGGCACCCCCAGCACCTTCAACAGCACTGCCACCCAAGCCCAGCCTGGCCCACGTGCGGCCGCCGGCCTCCTCCCGCAGGACTCCCGACCCGGCTCTTCCTTGGAGGCTTTGGACGTTGGAAGGCGAAATGGAGCTGCTCTTCTTCTCCCAAACACTACACGTTGCGTAACGGGGAGCCAGGACGAAAGCCCCGACCCGGCTGCTGGTCTCGGTACGACTCCCAGCGCTCGGCACCCACCGGGGATGCTTTAGGGAGCTTGATGCGGAACAGAGTTGGAGCCTCTTCAGAGACTTCGTCGTGTCCGGCGGCTTAATCGCTGACTTCTTTTTCTTAGTGGATTCGTAACATACTTTTATGAATTAAATTTTGCCACTGTTTGTACAGAAGCCAAATGACACGTGTGTTTTGAAACACGGTTCCAAATATATCCAGCCCTGAACCCGGATTCTCGCTAGAAAGAGCCGGAGGGAGATCGGCAGTCTCTACATAAACCTGATTTTACTGTTTCGTGAACATTACCCTCTTTAGAGATGTTGCTGTAGATTGCTTTACAACTGTTCGGCGAGAAGGGGGATTTTCCAGCTTGCTGGACCCAGGAAACTGGATACTTAAAGTCACTTAAATGTTTTAACAGCATTGGAAAATGGGAGCTGCTACTAAGTTGGCGTTTGCTGTTTTTCTTATCTCTTGTTCTTCAGGTAAGTAAAAGTTGTTTTTGTCACTTTAAATTTAAGGCTTTGGGGTCAGCACTGGAGAGCTGGAGGTGATTTTCTTGGTTAGACTGCGTTGGGAGAAATCACTTCTTCCAAAAGGCAAATGTTTGGGGATGGCGGTGACCGTGAAGGCAGCAGCTGTTCTCGTGGTGGTTCTTAAAAATGTCTAACGAGCACACTTCAGATGTGTGCAGCGCTTGGATTGCAGAGGAATCATCAGCAGCAAACGTGGAGACATAACCACCTAGTGTCACATCTGGTAACCTGGCGATGCAATTAGTAGTTTCATCTTCCTTTTTTCCAAAATGAGGATAACCAAGCTGAAATAGCTTCATTTAGAGCTCGTGTTCTGGAGCGTTCAGTGGTGGATGGCCACCTTCATTAATGCTTCGTTAGTTCAGGATAGCCACTGTTGTGGTATCAGCAAGGATGAGCTAATGCTAGCAGGGGGTGTGCGCACGTATAGGTTCGTGCAGAGAAAGAGGCTGAAAAGGCACGCTTTCAGTTTCAAAGCAGTGATTTGTAACGCTTTCATCTTGCTGTTCAATATTTCACTATTTTCGGGTGTGAAAGTTGGGTTTCAGATGCTGCCTGGTAGCCACCAAGCGTGGGGTGAGAGCTCCCGCACGCTTCTTTAGGAGGAAAATCCTGGTAGCAACCAGTGGTTGGAGGGACTGCTGGTGTATTTCTGCTCAGAGCTCATCAGTTTCACAAAAAACCTGTGAGTGGTGTAACAACCTTAATATTTGTTTAGATGGCAAACCTGCTACTTTCTGCTTACATTTTGAACTCTGTGTGTTTACACTTTTTTTGGCTTTCTTGGTTGGAAGGTGTACTTGTTGATCAGCCCGAAAGCTGCCAGACAAGTACTCAGGTTTTGGATGTAACTGGTCTCAGGGAGCAATGAGACCTGTGTAACGATGGCTTTTAAAATTTCAGCGTTGTAATGTACAGGATTCTGCTGAACAGTACATTTTCCTGTGGTTAGTAAATGGATAGTCTAGTCTTATGTCTGTAGTGTTATTGATCAATTCCGTGTGGGCTTAAATGTGCTGCGAAATGGCGATCGCTGCCAGAAATAACCCCCCCAAATCCTTTCTGTTTTAACCAGAGAAATTGCAGAACAGGTTAAGGACACTGCTTTTTTTTGGTTAGGGCACACCATTCATTGCTTTTGTGGAACAAAACATGATTTCTGACAGTTTTGTCCTACCCTAGAAGACGTCTTTCATGTTTCCCTTTACTTTCACGTTTCTCTTTACCTTCTTTTTAAGTAACTCAAATAACAACATTCCTCTTAAATCAGGAATATCCTCTGCAGGGAAACTTTTCTTCGCCTCAGTGACAGTTTCTGAAAGGCTTGGTGCCATCTGTTCTTCACGTCTCTCTCCCTTCCACATCCTTCTATTAAGATCCTTTTGCCTAGAGCATAGAATAGCGATCTTGTTGACATTGCTGTATTAAAAAGAGCTGTTAAGCAACAAAGCCTGGCTTTTCTTGAGGATTTCTTGCTCATGTTGGTCTTGGTAAGACAAAGTGATTGTTTCTCTTGCCTGTGAAGATAGAAATCGTTGCTAAATGACCGAGGAACTGGCTGCAACTCGAGCTGCGATCCTCTTAGTAATGACATTGTTTTGGTGGTTGCTCCAGTGTTACACATCAAGTATTCCAGTATTTAATAATTATTAAACTGCTTTCTACTCTACTCGGAATGTTAGTTTCTGCAGTCCTGGTGTAGGTGTAAACATGAATAAATCCCAGGGAGCTGTTGTTGTTCCGATCACAATCGTGGGATTATGTAAGCTTTCAACGTGAAGTACGGGCACTTGGAGTAGTGCTTCTTCTGCCCACTGGGACTCACTTGGGTTCAAAATCTAACATCATGATTGGAAAAATAAGTTTCCTGGGGACAAAAATCTCAAATTGCTTATGTATTGGCTGGGGTGGAAGAACTGCAGGAGTTCAGGTGTGCAGGGGTCTGGTTCTTCCTCCAGCTGCTTTGCCGTGTGCGTGTTGGGTGCTCGGGGCCAGGCTTCTGCCCTGACCTGTTTGCTGCAGCTATCTTCTGCTGTTGTTTCCCCAGCCCCTGAATACCTGTGCTCTTTAACTGGGTGAGAACAGGCTTGTTCTAGATGGTGGGCGTGGAAGTGGGCTTCAGTTTGAAGTCATTTTATTTTATTAGCTATGAACTCTTACATGAAACACTGTGAATGTATTTCAGATGTATAGGAATGCCCGGGGAATTACATCTGATAGTCATTGCTGAGGAAGTTTTAAATATCACAGTCAGAAAGTGGAAATACTGCTAAAGAGCACCTGTATTACCTTACTGGGCTTCATCCTAGGTGTCCTACACATGCTGTAAGCGTGGCTGTAGGGTTGCACCTCTTTGTGCTAACTGAAGGGAGCCAGATGAACGTGCAGTGAGTAAACAAAGTGCCCCTGTGCATCGGTTCCCTGTGCATCCCCTCATATACTTTTCATATCTCTATATATTTTTGACTGTAGAAAAGCAACTCTGAACTAATCAAATATTCTCAAACAGCTGAATGTGCTTCCTGTGCCTCTGCTGAGGCAAGGCTGTAGGTGAGCTGGAAAGAAAACCAGTAAATAAAATGGTGTGTTCGTCGAGGAGCGCTGCCCTTGACATGCTGCATGGGCTCTCCCCACCCTGAGGAAGCATGCTGCCAGTGTCCTATCCTTCATGATCACCGAGCTGTTCATTATGAACTTTGGAAGTAGAAGGTTGTATGTGTGCCTCGGCAGCTTTTTCTGCTGTTTCGGACCATACAGCCTGTGTATTGAACATGCTGGGCGAGGTGGAAGCAGGGGGTTGTCCTTAACCCAGGTCTGCTGTTGTGGGTGCTCTGCTTGTGAATTCCTCATGGTTCTTTGTTGCTCTTTGTATCTCCCAAACCTCGTTTCCTCTGTCTGGGGGGCTGTCAGCGGAGCAGTTCACCCACTTGAAGTCTCCTCCAGAGAACCAGACTGCAGCTTGTTACAACTCTTGTAAGCCCAGTTCGTGCTGAAGGAAAGCACTTCAGAAACATCCTGCTCCTGTCCCCCCAACACCAGGTCAGCCTTGAGCCTCTCAGAGGGCCTTGAGCAATTTTTCTAGAGGAAATGACAAATCAGAGCTACCTTTGTAGCTTAAGTAGTATTTTCACTGCATGGGGAACGTTTTATTCTTTGATTTTCCTTTCATTCTTCCTGTCTCACACCAGCTGTTACTAGGGGAAATTACTCCTTTCCTCAAACATCTAGATAGCACTACTGGAGCCGGAGATATTGCGACAGGCTCGGAAGCTGAGTGCTCAGGTACTCGGGAGGAATTGAGGGGTAGGAGATGAGCCTTCCTTTGCTGAATTTTACTACTGTAATGTTTTTTTGACAATCATTTCATTGTGAACTTCGCAGCACTTGAAAATCCTGCCCAAAGGTTAGCAGTAGTGCTTGTGGCGTTGTCCCTGCTGGTAGGTTCTCCGCAAGCCGTGCGTGAGCGTGGTTGGACTCTAACCTGAGTGCAAGGCAGGGCAATAAAACACTTCAGACTTAGTACAACTCGTAAAACAAAGTCCTGCTCAAGATGCCTTTTTTTTTTTTTTTTTTAATCAGAGCGTGCTTTCTTATTTTTGTATCAAGATGCGGGGTGTTCCCAACAACAACAGTTTGATGCTCCTGTTCAGAGCAGGACTTAGGCTCTGCTTGATGCTGTTTCCAGGCGTGGATCCATGTACATGGATGTGAATGTAACGCTGTTCACAAGGTGTTGGGGCTCCAGCTTGATATTAGACCTTGAGTAACAGAATTATGATCTATAAACAATGCTGTACAATCTGTATAATCTGCCAGTGCTTAACAATTTACAAACCCTTACAAACGCTTCTAGGTTATGAGAAATCCGTGTGATGGTGTTAGTGCTGTCTTGGAGCATATAAACATGGTGCTGGTAGAACTCCGCTTGGCAAATGGTTCAAGAGAGATGCTGCTGTCTTGGTTTTATTGACACGTTTATCCTTCAGATACAAATCTTGTGTTCATAGAGAAGTAAATAAATAAGCTAATGCTTATTTAAAGCTAGGTGCTGTGTAAATGTTAGGGGAGGGGGAGAGGTTTACGTGTGAGGGAGAGGCTGTTTCATCTTAAATAGGGGTGCAAGAAAGTAATTACTGTAACTCAGCTGATTTTAATGGATAGTATTTGAATGACTTTTTTCCTTATCTTGCTGCAATTTAGGGGCAAAAGCCCTTATATTGACAAGTTCGGATCGTAAGCAAGGATGGAAAAATAACTCCTTTTTTTTCCTGTTTAACTATAGCAGTTCATTTATCATATCCTCAGCTTTTGTTTAAGATAGGGGAGAAAATAACAGCAACTACACTATTTTTTGTTCTCAATGATTTTACCTTCTCTTCCAGCCTTTACCTCTTATGCTGCTGGTTTTGATGGTGCCTGGCTTCCAATTCCCATAGCTTATTTCTCTTTGCAATTGGAATTCAGTTCTCTTTCAAGTTGTCATGCCAAGTTTGTATAGTCCCTAGATATCCTAAGAGATGGTAGTAACGTTTTTGTTACAGCACAGACAAATGAGATGGATACAATATGTAAAAGCAAGTCGTTTGGAGACCTGTGATTCAGAGACTTAGCAAGTCCACGGGATTTATCCTTGGGAATTATCTAGAGAGTAATTGTTACAAGGCAGGCTGTAAAAAGATAGAGGTTGACAAGGAACTTGGTTGCAGGAGAGATTCCTCGGTGAAGGGGGATGCATTTCTACCACTTAATTAACAGAAAGCAGATTAATGCAAATGCCTGCTTTAGCTGGTTGGTGGAATCCATGGTCTGTTAGCTATCTGATGTTCCTGAAAATGAGAACTCTTTAAAAAAGATCAGGAAAATTGCAAATTTTACAGCCAAGTTCTTGTGTGATGAAATCTTAATGTGTTTTTGTTGCCTTGGTGCTTAAAATTCAGCACATCTTATTT